CTTATTACAGTTACAATGATAAACACTGTACAGGTTTAATTCTACCTGATATGGGATTAGGTGCCTTATTACAGTTACAATGATAAACACTGTACAGGTTTAATTCTACCTGATATGGGATTAGGTGCCTTATTACAGTTACAATGATAAACACTGTACAGGTTTAATTCTACCTGATATGGGATTAGGTGCCTTATTACAGTTACAATGATAAACACTGTACAGGTTTAATTCTACCTGATATGGGATTAGGTGCCTTATTACAGTACAGTGTGTATATATGGACAACTTACTTGAGAACGAGTGGACTGACAAACTGAAGAATGTCAAAAATTAGTTTGTAGAGAGCGGACAGGAGGAACATAGGCCAGAATGCTTTGATCAGGGAGATGAGCAGTTTGGCTTTGTAGGGTGGTTTCCCATCAACAACGTTCACTTCTGTGTACGTTTCTCCATCCCGTTGTCGGGTCTGTAGTTCAATACCGTCAGTGCTGGGAGTTTCTGGGTTTCGTTTTGAACTGAAATACATTAAATAATGCTTCAAACGTATTCAAGGCATAATGTTCTGAATAAAATTTGTTAACTATTATAATCATGACTACTTTTACAGGTTGCAAATACTTAAATATCAAGCTTGGTGTGGTGTAATCAATATGATACCTGGTACAAATGTATATATGCATGGTGATTAGTTAATTTTATGTGAGGAAAAACTATGTCGGAACCATTAATATGACATAGTGTATTTTACTCCCCATTCCTCGTTAACTTGTTTAACTAGAGTAAATCATTCTATCACAAACCTCTTCTCCTTCTCAATCTCCTGGTGCCAGTACTTGTCAAAATGGGGAATCACACTGCTACACATATCCTCTTCATTCATGGCAAATAGGTCACTTCTCTTTAATGCGTGCTTATACCCCTGAACCACAGTACTGTCAAAACACAGGAATCTCAGGAATATTTTTTAACGAAGGGAAGTACCTGACTGTGGATACAGGCTATCTGGATTATGATTTCATTAGTCTTTTGAGGAAACATAATAAAATTGAAAATTAGAAAAAAATGGTATAACAAATACACCAATTAATTAGACAAACACTAAAAGTATCATTTGTATACAAAAAAGTTTTCAGTGCAAAAACAACATTCATAAATATGTAAGACCTACAATTTGAATTGTCTAAGACAAAAACATTTCGTTTCATTAATGAAAATATCAGCATTTTCAAACTCCATATATATTTTTATTTCATTTCATTCAAACTGAAAATTTTGAAAAATTTAGATGTTTTCTTTTTTCCCCACTTTGACAACTTGACACTTCTGCTTACCCTGAAAACCACCAAAAACTTATCCTCGATATGAAGGAAGAGTCTGCCTCCGGACATGGCTTCTGTAACAATAGAGACACCAATTTGTAAGGTCAAACTCAGGATACCACTCGGCACATATTTGGATCAATTCTAAGAACAATTTAAGTACCCTACAATTATGACCAATGAAGTACAGTCCTTTCTATCAGAATTTCTTTTCTAATCATTTTCAATTTATAAACTGTTACAATTTTCTTGTGAACAATCCCAACATGGTGTTGCCAATACATATTTGTGTTATATAAATATATACATGTATTTGTGTTATATAAATATATACAGTTGTGGGACCGCACAACGCACCAAAAATAGCGCGCACACACCGTGCAAACATCGTTCACACACCGTCTGCACATCGTCCAAACATGGTGCGCACAACTGTGCGATTTAGCAATCGTTCGCCCCGTTGTGCACTTCTCTCCGCACAACTGTGCGATTTGGTATCATTTGTAGATCAAAATTACGGAATGACAAAAATACGGAAGGCTTGTATGCGATAATGTACACTGTGTATATATCTGTAATTTCTCATCACAATAATCAAGATTATACAATTTCACAATGCGTGTTACACAGTATTACAGCGACCGTTAGGCTGTCAAGAATGGGTTTGGCTCCAAGGTAACAGAACAGGTAAATAACAATTTTATGAGTGTCCGGAGTTTTACCTGACCAGTGCCTGACACACAGAGCTGATATGCGATACCGTTTGACCGTAATGAATAGTATTTGTTATTTGCATTCGTTTGCCTATAGCTCCCCTTCACCTGGATTTTCACACCCCGGCCTTACCCGACGAGTTACGTAAATGCCCCAGGCGGGGAGAAAACTACGGTCCAGGTACATGTACAAAGTGGTTATGTTTACCTGTATACGGGATTGTGTTGTAATATTACATGTGTCGATCAAGTTTGTTTAAAAACACAGAAAATACAATTTCTAAATATAAAAAATGCATAAACAGAAAGATAAGTTTATAGATGTTGCTAGAATATAGAAACATACGTAAACATCAAGTTTATATATTTAAACATGAAACCGTATATATTGTTGAGGCATTCCTCAATTTACACCAACCACGATTGTAATCGCACAACGTCCGTCCATCGTGCGCACAAATATGCGCAAGTAATGATCGTCCAGCTTTTAATCGTTCGCCCATCGTGCACACACCGTTCAAACAGTGCACACATCGTGCGCACACCGCACATCGTGTAACGTTGCGCGATCCCACAACTGTACATGTATTTGTGTTTTATAAATATATACATGTATTTGTATTTTATAAATATATACATGTATTTATGTTATATAAATATATACATGTATTTGTGTTTTATAAATATATACATGTATTTGTGTTTTATAAATAGATCCATGTATTTGTATTTTATAAATATATACATGTATTTGTGTTATATAAATATATACATGTATTTTTGTTTTATAGATATATAAATGTATTTCTGTTTAAAAATATATACATGTATTTTATAAATATATACATGTATTTGTGTTATATAAATATATACATGACAGTGATGTTGGTATCATATAATGAAACAAAATATCTAGGAATCAGTGTTTTTTAACCAACCAAATATTTCATGATTGTTTTAACTTTGGTTCACAAATGGACACAATATATGCTGTATTAAATTTTATTAACTTCGTTTAAGTACTTACATCATGTACTACAGCAGTTGGTACAAATTCGTTTTTTCTCCGGTCCACAAACCATGTTAGGATGAACTGTATAAGGATCACCGGGAACTCAATAAAGAATATCACAAACCTAAAGACTTCGTCAATGCCCTGAAAAAAGGTGGAAAACAAAAACAAAGTTATTATGATGTCAAGTGTGATCAAAAATAGTTCAGACCAGTATATGGTAAGTGAAAGAAAAAGAAATAAAAGTACATGAAACTTTCAATGAGTTGGACTCCTTTTACTGTCCATTACACACTGATCTTAATTAACTTAATGTGAAGCTGGAAATCATACAAATGTAGGCCATGTGCAATCATCAGGACTGGACAGATATGGCTTATACTGTATGACCCCAAAAGATTAGGGCGTTATTAAAGTTCTTACCAATATTTTAAATTTGTATTTTATTTTTAAATGACCAAGGCTTATCACAAAATGACTTTGTGTGTATTATTAATAAAAAAGAAATATCAACAGATGGTGTG